ATAAATTATATAACAGCTCACATAAATAAAGGCAGGATCATTTAAAAAAAAAAAAAAAAAAAAAAAAAAAAAACCCTCTTGCACAAACTTCCAAGTCATAGCATATAAATCTAATTTTGAAAATATCTCGCAGTACTTGGCAAACAATTGCAGCAAATATTGAAGCCAAATTCAGTTCTTTGTATAAAGATGCTGAGTATCTTGTATTTAAAGATTTACTTGATAATATGATTTCTTTAGTTCTTGATATATACACTGTGTTTTTCTGATCTGATGATTTTGATACTTACTTAGAATCTTTTTTTCATGCTTAGACAGTTTTTTTAAAGTTTAGTCGCAAAAATTATATGAAAGCACTATTAATGTTTCTTTCAGATATCTTCTATTAGGAGTTGAATAATCATCTGATTTTGGATATTATTAAAGCAAAACTTTCAAAGTTTTTAGATTCAACTGTAGAGATATTTTATAGTTTCTTACGCAGAAACATGCAGAAGTATATAGAAGAACAAGAAATAATTAAATATGGCCACTGTATTAATTGCTTGCATTTAGATAATAGTAGATTTAGGGAAAACTTTGTATATACATCAACATGAGCAGCTTATAAGTATTTTGCGTGTGATATTTCAGCATTAACTAACAAATATGCTTGTTTTCTTTTACATTATTTTTCAAAAATTTATGTTTGTTTGTTTCATAGTAAATCACCACTAACACTTCTATTACAGGCTATAGTAAATCCATCTTCAATCAAAAAGCAGAAAATTGACAATATTACCATTTCATTACTCACAATGTATATGCTAGAAGCACAATTTTGTTATTTTTCTTTGGGGTTTAATACTTCACATATACCCAATCTGTTTCATTATTGTGATGTATCTAATTGTTTTACTTTTTCATTTGTTAACACAGATTCAGTTGTTCTATCTTGCAGCCATGGTTATCATAAGTCTTGCTATGCTAACAATGGATTTATATGTGTATATTGTCTCTTGTTTTTGAAAGGGTGTTAATAGACATATCTAGTCTCTATTAGAAAGATTGCAATCTCTTAAAAAAAAAAGAAGAAAAAGGAGATACGAGTTGAAGGAATTCCTTATAATAATAATGATGAATCTGAAAAAGTAAAATATAAAGTATTTGAATTAGAAAAGGTATTACAAAAATTTTAACAGCAATAATTGTAGTTTTATAATTTATTGTATTTTTTATTTTGTTTTATATTTGTTTAATAAAATACATTTAAATACAATTTGATATTGTTATATTATATTTATTTTATTATATATTAAATTTTATTATTTTTTATTACAATGGTTGAGTGCTTTTCATTTTGGTGACCAAGATAAAATGCTCTATAGATATGTCTTAACTTTTTGATAATAAAAATAAATGCTTTTTGTGTATTCTTTTCGATTCCAATTCTATTTGATAGTAATATCCAAGTTTATGTATTTCATTGCATATCCCATTTCTGCTAACTTTTGATATGAAGGTATGCTTTATACTCGTTCTTTTTAACTTCTTTGATAATATCCATGGCTATCCTCCAAATAAATATTAATATAAATATTATTTTAGTATTTGCATATATAGATTAAATATATCAGAAGACAAAAAGAAAAATTACTATTTCTATATAATTCTTGAATTATAAATATATATAATATGTATAAATTTTTTGCTTATAATGGTAAAAAAAATATTAATTAAATATATGAGACTTTAAAAATTCTATATTTTGATTAGTTAATTATTACCAAAAGATCACGAATAGATCTAAAAAATTAACCAATTAAATAAATGTCATTCTATGAGCTACACCCGGGGTATTTCTCTAAATATTAAAAAAAAAAAAATTATTATATAATTTATATATTATTATTTGCATTGTTATATTGTATTGTACAACTTATTAATTCTAATTAATTTAATCTATTACAATATTTTTATAATATAATTGCAATATTATTTTAATATATTTAACTATACAATAATAATATAACAATTAAAATATGTTTACAATATATTTATAATACAAATTTAATATATTAAATTAAATTGTATTATTATTATATTGTAATTGTGTTGTTAAGACTTATAAGGGTAGTGTTATTTATTATCTGATTTTTTTTTATTAGAGGCATACTCTCCTCGCCCTTTCTTATTATATATTTGATCAAGTCTTTATATATAATTTTAACTTTTTTTACTCTTCTCCCACCCTAAAAAATCACCTGATTTTTGTCACTTTTCTAACTATAAAATAATAATATATAAATTATATATATAATAATAATATAAAAATTGTATTATTAAATTTTTTAAAGAGAGGATATGGTAGCTTAGTGAAGTGGTCTAGTTGTCACTTTACCAAGCAGCAGGTTTAGAGTTCAAATCTTATAGACAATGTTTTTCGAAAAATAAATTTGTATTAGGTAATGATTATCTATTGATCGGTTGGATTTACAATCTGTAATCTTGATTGTATTATTTTGTTATAGAAGCTTCAGTGCAGAAATGCCAATAATCGAAACCTGTTTGGGAAGACCCGAGTAAGGAGGTAGTGGATACTTTTGATGTTGTTATAGGAAGGTTGAATTTGGAAGTAATAGCTAAGATTAGAAAACCAAATGACAACAAGATCCTTAAATAAAGAAAATCCACCAATCTGACCACCAATTGGAGAGAAAACTAGTATACCAATCTAGTTAGCCGATGTGGAAAACTGGGGTGATCATCCATCATGACTAGGATTTCGGAGTCAGGTTCTACCTAATGACAAGGGCTAGACGATTTTTGGAAACTGGCCAGACCTAATTGGAGGAAAAGGACATGTGCTATAAAATCATATACTATGATAAGACAAGACACAAGGCACTTAGAGCCTAGCCAGGATCAAATCTTCCAGATCACAGGTTGGGAGTAAGAAAGAAACCAATAAGGCAAAAATAGAAAAAAAATCCTCAAATATAAGTACTAGGGTTGAAGTGAATCTTACAAAGGCATAGTAGTTTAATTGGATTATACCAAACTGTGAGTAGAAGCCTTGACAACTATGATGACTGAGTTAGCCAGATACAGAGTATAGAAGGCTCTGGTAGGTTTACCTTGAGGATAACCGTATATTTGCTTAACAAAGGAATGCAAGCTAGTAATTAGTTGGTGTAAACCCAGGATAAGTTACAGAAGTCCTAAGGCAAGGTATACAATCTAGTAAAACAAGCCAGATAGTAGTTCCCAGATTAGTATAATATACTAAAAACGGTTAGGATTAGAAGGTTTAAATGAGTAACTCTCTAGTTGGATTATAAGTATGGCATCTAGTGTAGAACCTGCGGGCGGACTACTTAAATAGATATTCAAAAGGTGCATGTGTAGCTAGTTGTATCTTCATTATAACTATAATAATAAATAATTACTAATAAAAAATCTTCATAGCCAAAGAGATCATCTTAATACTGAAAAAAAAATTTTTTAAGGTTTTAACTAAGAAACTCTAAATTTATTAACAAGTAATATATAAAAACTACTTCTAAACAACGAACTATTTCTAAATAATAAATACTATTAGATTTAGATCACAGATAAAATACTAGATTTGTTTATTTAGTTAATTTGAGTTCCTATTCTTAGTACTAAACTTAAAATACAAAACCTTTTTCAATTATATAAAAAGTTTTTATTAAAATAAAAGCATAGTCTTATCTTTAATATTAAAAAAATAATAATAATAAATGCTATCTTATAGTTTAATCTTATAACACAGTTTCTATATTAGTTTTTTATATTTGTAAATTTGTTTTTTTTTAAAAATTTTGATACTAAGTAATTGTCAAAAAAAGTATAATAATTCTTTTTTTTTATACTTTTTTTACTTATTTATTTACTTATTTTTTTATTTTTATTTTTTTCTTTTTATAGTTTTTTAATATATATTTATACAGTATTATCCAATTATATCAATTTATCATTCGTGTAACGTAACCCAAAATTTGGCCACTATATTTATAACATGTTGATTTAAAGATTTCTGCACTGTATATATTATATATATATATATAATATATACAGTATATATATACTATATATATACAGTATAATACTATAAAGTAAAATAGTTGAATTAGCGATTTAGTTAAATCAAGAATTTAACAATTAGCTGGTTTGTACAAACCTAATTACAATATAGCTTTAAAATATATATAACTATATGGTATTGTAAAAAGTTTAAATCTATATTTGTTTTTAAAAGTTTATTTAAAAAAAAAAAATTATATAGTTCATTTAACCAAGTACAGTATAATATGTATTTTACTATTCGGATGATTAGATGGGACACTTTGCACGTGATTTATACTAATAAACGACATCGCTATACATTGTTTAACGCGCTTTTGTTCCATGCTAATTATGAAGTTAATATGTTATATTACATGTGTAAATGCGATGGTAAAGAAGATAGCACGTATGATTAAATGTTTAAAACAGCCAATCAGTGCCATAAAATGTTACACGTATATCAGCCCCGCAAATTCGTGGAACTATAAATAATACGTCTAATCAGTACATATGATCATCCTCATAAAGCAATTTTCGACTTTCTAGAGCGGCCACGAAAGCCTCGTCTTGCTATTTAAAATGCCAATGTCAAAGGCTGTGAACGGCACACTGCCAGGCCCTAGCAACGCGCAAAAAGGAAAGGCAAAAATGACCCAGGCAAATAGCCCGATGTCCTCATTGGTGAACAACGTTCGTCGGAACGGCAATTCACTGCAACGTCCGCTACCAGATCATGACGAACGTTTTGACCATGTAACTTATATAGGAAAGACTCGGATAGATACCTATCAGATAAAGCAACAACTAACAGAATTTTTAGGTGATAATGCTCATCCCTATTGGGATGCTTTCAAAAAGTTTATTTATTGTAAAATCCCTCGAAAAGATTTTGAGCAAATCGTGAGGCCTTCATTAGTAGATAAGGAACATCGTATGTTAAAATTCCTCTCGTATAATTTGAATGTCTGTTAATGAGCAAGAATTCCTTTACTTATTTATAAATTATTATCGTAAAGTCGAGTTGCACAATATGCTGTTGTTAGGAATACTTAATAATTGTTTGTGCAACGACCCTCCACCACCACAAAATCATCCAGTCATTCAACAAAAGAAACGTAGTCGTGAAGATGAATTGCATGGTCATAGTGACGGGATACCTGATCCTAAGAAACGACGAATTAAAGAGCTTGTAATGTCGTTACCCCGAGAAGAACGAGAGAGAATCAAAAGTTTAAGAAAGGTTGATAGTAATTTCGCTCGGCGATATATTTAAAATAGGTTTCTGATTCTTTTTAATAATTTTATTTACAAAATCTATATTATATCTGCGAACGCAAAATATTGTTATACAACTTTATATTATAGGATTTAAATGGAGTTATAACAATGCCAGATCCTATGGCTACAGTCTTACCAGTACCAAAGTCAGAGCAGTTACCACTATTTGATTATAATGACCAACAAAATGTTATTAAACCACAACGTAAGATTAGATTTTAAATACTTAACAGAGCTCTGTTCGTTACAAACATTAAGCTTATAACAATCTACTATCATAGTCAATCCAGAGCGTGTTCAAACCTGTCGAGAAATGAAAGCATTACCCGATTCTAATACTTTATATGGCAGGATTTTAGAGATAGCACGAGCGAATGGCTTACAAAATATTTCAGAAGATTGTGCAAGCCTACTCAATTATGGACTGGAGGTTTGTCTCATTATTATTTTATTTTTTAAAATTATTCTAGTGTTCCTATCCATTATCCGTTTATCCATTATCCATCGGATATTCGGATCTGAATTTATTCGGATATCCGTTTTATATTCGTTTACTATTGATATCCGGAGAATTATCCGAATAACTGTCAGATTATCCGGATATCTGAGCGATTTGAATTATCCGAATAATTAGATACGGATGACGGATTCATCCGGATTGGAACTTTAAATTATTCTAAAACATTCACTAACATTGTATGAATTACTTTAATAGTCACATCTTAAAAATATTATTGGCAATGTTCTGCAAAAGACCCGAGCTGGTAATTCATTTGGCATTAACTCATCTGGAATGAGAAATGCCGATTATAGGTATCGGGCTGCCACAACAAGCCAAGAAAAGAGAACAATAACTTCCCGAGACTTATCATTCTCTTTCGAGATGTCTCCTCATATTCTTGTAGAGCCATCTTTTGCACGTGAAAAATTGACATCCGTGGTCATGAACGAGGACGAAGATTATGAAATGGAAGATGACGAAGATGACGACGATGACGACGATTAGAGATGTTAATGGTCTGATTTGGTCTGTTACACAGTAGCTCAGGCCTCAGACTGGACCAAATTGGTCTGGAATCGATTTTTTCCCGATAATCATTTCCCTGACTATCCTTTTTCGATAGTAACATTTCCCCGACACTGTTTTTCAGACTAGTGTTTAGAATCGATTCTCAAACCAAAGTTAAGATTCGAAAGGTAAGACCGAATTTTGAGATCATTCCCCCAATTGTTTACGATTGATCCAATGTTCAACAACTTTTCGGTATCTCCCGGTAGGGACATTGTAGCGCTTTGCAAAAAGGTGTGACCGCGATTTTTGTGGCGACTAGGGTTGTGACCCAAACCTTTTTTTTTTGAATTATTACTACATAGTTTGGGTTTGAGAATCGGGATTTCTACTTCATTTAGGATAATAGTCAAACCCAAATATATGTCCCATTTTAGTCAATAGTGTCAAACTCAAAAACCAATCAAATTTGTTAAGAAAAGGCTATAAATTACTAAAACTTCGTTATTTTCATTTTCAGATTAAGAAAATTAAGATATGTTGGATAAAAGTGATATGTTAGGTTTAATAGTTATAGAATATGTATACAATAAGTGAAAATAATTACTAGAAATGCTTAATTGTTTTTTTTTAGAAATGTAAAAATCTTTAATAAAATCGATACCTTATCGGTTAAACGTATTATGGTTAACCTGTAATTGGACCCGTGACGTAGGAAGAATTATGATGATCAAATTTCCAGTTTCGAACTACGACCAGAAAAGCTATCGAAACTCCTCCACAAGAATAATTGTAACAAAAAAAAGTACTATAGCAAACTATAGTATTCTTAGTAAATTAACACAAGAAATCTATGAAAGTGAAGATAAATATGGTATATCTAGTTTTACAGTACTAAAATTATAGAGTATGTATATTACGGTGCTAAATTTTGAAAAAATAGAAATATTTATTCAATATATAATAATAGTAAATTTCAAAAAAAAAGATTTTAAAAAGAAAAAGACATACGTATATAGTGTCCTTATGATGAAAAATAATAATTAAAAAAATTATTTTAGTATTATTAATAACTGATAATAAATACTTATAGCAATATTTAGATTTTTTGATAAAATAAAGTTTTAAATTTTTAAAATTAAAAAATTAAATTTTTAGACTTAAGACAGCACCTTAAATAATATTTCCGTAATTTGTTTCACTTATTTAAAATAAGGCTTAGTGTTAGTAGAGGTCGGGCAAGCCCTATAGGCAAAATTGCTTTTCAAAATTTTCATGATAAATATCAGTTTCTAGATTTCTAAGATTTTCTTTGGCTAATAAAATTTATGAAATTGATGCAAATATGTAAATTATAATATTTATTTTGAGAATATATTTTGAATTCAAAGGCGTTTACTGCCTATACATCAATTTCAATTTCACCTCATACATCAGATATGTATAATTATATTATATTTTAGCACGACCCATAACAATTTATTTAAACATTCTTATTTTCCCATTAATCACTATTCATAAAGAAATAATATTGAATAAATAGAATTCATCAGGAAAGAAAATAAAATAAAAATAAAATAAAAATAATTTGTCTGATCAAAATTACTTTTGCAGAGACGTTCTTAGTCCATCATCAAAGGATAAAAAAATATCTCAAGTTGTCTGGTACATATATAGTATGTATTCCTTAAAAAATATGATGCTAAATTCTATGCAGACTAAATCAACTACCAATTTTGTAGGTATAATGTTTGATTACGTATATTCATTTATTAAATAAACTAATAAATTGTTTAATAAAAACCGGATATAAACTGGATTAGTATCGGATAACTAAATAAACATCTATTTATAAATCCGGATTAAAGAAATATAAAATAGGATGTCTATCCAGATATTCGATTAGATATCCGGAACCAAGCATTAGTTTGTTCAGGGAAAGTTTCTTTTAATTGTTCGAGGAGCATTTCTCTAAAACCCTGATTAGTTAAATTTCCCACTATAATTAGAAAAATAAAGTCCAAATTCATATAACGAGAAACATATATATAAATGATTTAATATTAAGTTATTACTTGTATTGCTTCATTTTTGACTTTAACCGCTTGGTTCTCTTGCATAACTTCATCCACGTAATCAGCCATGAAGATATCAGGATTACGTCCCTCGTCAATAAATCTAATCGTTTAAAAGAAAATATTTTATAAGTCGATTTTTCATAAAAAAAAAAGAAAAGAAAATCATTGTAAGATTCAAAAAAAGTTTTTAAATCAAAAAATGTACGTACTCTATTACTTTCATAGGAACTTGTATGTGCTGAATCTTTTCTTGAAGTATGTTCACTTCTTCAAAACAAGCAACCAAATCAGTCCTAAAATTAATGATAAATAATATTCCTTTTTTACCTACCTAAATACAATGCCAATCAGGAAAGTATGAATGAAACGTACAAAGAGCGACTCACTGCCCACTTATTTTCTGAATCATACTCGTTAAGTTGTACCATGATTTCCCATATTTTAGTAAGCAACTGATCTATAGTTTGTTCTAGTTGTGCTCGAGGATCGCTATGTCCATTTTGTTGTTTTGGTTCAGAGACTGTGGCCATCATCATGTGTCCCATTAATTTTATACAACAAGGAATAAAAATGATGTTTTCTAATTACGATTTGATAACTTATGCAAAGTCGACACATTGTATTTATGCAGCTATAATTTTTCGATTTTTTTCACACGATATTTTGGTGACACATGTGATCACCAAATTTATAAGTGTAAATTTCAGGTTTTTCTCCCTTTTTCTATGATGGCTGATGATAATATAACATTAACGTCTCCAATTTCTATCCCACAAAATTCAGTAGAAGTCATAGATGCAGATGAAGAAGTCTTTCATTTATATACTGAAGGATGTCCTTTAGAATGGCAATATAATCCAATCATATCACAAAAGGATGCTTATATAGATGTTATGATCGATGGTCAAAATTACAATTAATTTAATTCTCTAGTATTATTAGGGATCTACAAGCTCGACTTGTGCTTGTGCCTAACAAGGGGCACAGATGTGGGCATGGGCGTAAATGCAAATATTTGGCCTAAAGTTCCTAAAGTTGTTGGGCACTTTTGTAGTCGTGGGCACAAAGTTCAGGTACATGTTGGGTACCTTGTGTTATAAGCATAAAGGCCTGATCTAAATTACTAGCCAATAGGGCACAAAGTGCTTGGCCCAAAGGCGCCTGGAACTTTACATGCGCGCTTACAAAATGCCCGGAACTTTTACGCCCATAGATAACCCCGTAAACTCTAATGCCAATATTCCCGGCATGGGCATTTGCAGATCCCTAAGTATTATAATCAAATAATTATTTTACAATGTTCTTTGAATTTTTTTTTCAGATCAATTGATCATAAAAATTGCACAAAACCAATCACTCCTTTCCGTAAGTGGTACAACAGGAACGGTTCTTTGGAATTCAAGTATCATGCTTTCAAAGTTTATGTTCGCCTATCGAAAATGGCTTAACCTTTCAATTGACAAAACGAATATTTTGGAATTAGGTTCTGGATGTGGTTTAACTGGTATTTCATTAGCTAACACTTTGGTGAAGCTTATAGCATTAACAGATCAAGCAACAATGTTACCTCATCTATGGAAAAATGTTAAACGAAATTTGAATAGTGATTTAATTTCATCAAAGGTTTTAGTTGCAGAGTTGGTTTGGGGTGAAGAAATTGATAAAGATATTTTGTCACAACATTGGGATTATATTATTGCAAGTGATTGTATTTATAATGAGTTCATTGTTGGTGCGTTTGTTGAAACTTTGGCTAAGTTATGTAATAATGATAAATTTGTGAAAAGAATTCATGGAGAAAGTGTTCAAGATGATGAAAGAATCAAAGAGGTAAAACCTACGATAGTTATTATTGCTGTGCAGTTGAGATCTGATATTGTTCATCTAGAGTTTCTGAAAGAGATGAAGCGTAGAAATTTTATTATGTGGAGATTACCAAATTCCATGCTGGGGTCTGACTTTGAGAAGGGTTTTGTTATATATATTGCTTGGACTAAGAACTTATTATAATGTTTTTTGTATAATTGAGGGTAATTCACGAAAAAACCAATCAATTTTTAAGGTATTTTTTGGCTTAAATAGTAGTTATTAATTTTAAAAAGTTTACTACGTACCCATATTGATAAATTTAAAATTAAAGCTATTTAATGATTATTTTAAATATAGTAATATAATCTAATTTAACCTCTATTTATTTTTGTTTAACTTATGCAACATTTTGATCTTTATTATAAAATTTTACGTTATGAGGAAAAATATTAAAATTATCATAGTCATGTTTATTATAAAAATTGATATGCGATTGTCTTTTTATAATTAGTCTTTTTGCAAAAAATAAATAATTATACTACTGTATAAATCCAATTCCATTGATAATTTTGCTTTCTTATGCAAAGTTTCCACTATGTCATAAATTACAGAATGACGTAACAATCCTAAATAGTTACTAACTTTTAATTCAATTTAAAAAATAATATCATTATCATCATTGGTTTCCAATAAGTCCATGGGTTGCGCATATTGTGAAATTTCTAAAATAAGAAAAAATGAATATTTAAAATTCAATATAGTAATTTTTAAACAAAAAAAGTATTATAATTCATCAAGCATCTCACCTTCGCTTGCAATCGCACGTTCCTTATCAGCAGCCTGTTGGTCTCTCTTCTTTTTACCTTGCACTTTTTTTAATCTTTTTAAATCATTTAAATGATTAATAAAAATTTAACAAAGTTATTGAATGAGATATATGTAATTATTTCACCTGAAAAATTCTTCACGATCTTGTTCATCTAATTCAGAAATAATATATTTGATAGTATTTTCTATTCTTGGTATAATAATGTATTCAATTGCATTGACACGACGATTTGTCATCTTTATAACTTCATCCAAGATAACGAAAGCTGTCTAAATGGAATATAAAGAATTAACAAAATAACGTATTCATCAAGTTACATTATAAATTTTGAATATATTTTTATTACCTGCAATGAAGCCAATTCTACCAAAGTTTCAACTGCTTTAACATAAGTTTCCTTACATTTTTGAATTTGTTGACCACCACGTCCAAGACCAGTTAATTCAAAAGCTTAAATAAAAATAGCAATAGAATTAATTGTGCAATATTGAGCGATATGAAAAATTGCTAAAAGTGAAATCACAAGAAATGAAATAAAATTAAATTGTAAAAATTACCATTAGCACCCTCTGTATAGCATTCAAATGCAGGCAACATGACACCAGATACATTTTCTTGCTTTGTGCGAACACGAAATTGCGCACTTTTAACACTTTCTTGAACCTGATAACTTTACATTATTTATTTAGCATTAATCTAGAGAGTATAATGAAATTAATAGTAAGAAGGAAGCACTCACTTAATATCGCCAGCAATGTAAGCTACCTCGACCAATGAGAATGAGGCTGCTTGCATTATTTTGCTCATTTTGTGCTTAGCCTTTATGAATATAAGTAGTGTGAATTTAAAAATATTCAAAGATTTTTATTTTTGCACGATAAAAAATTGTAAAAAAAAACTCAAAAAACAAAGACAGTCATACTAACTTCCTCAATCTTGTGAACTATAGTTCTAAAACGTTTCGTGAGAGCTTCACTCTTACGTTTTAATAAACTGTGCCCTGTTTGAGCCCCCTTTAATTTTGTTTTCATTAAAGTTAAAGCCCTGAATTTTTTTAAAAAAAAAGGTTTAAATGAACACAGTAGAAGCAATAAAAAATTAGATCGTCTACTAATGCCTACTAATGCCGTACATTCGAGTGGGAAAAATATTGAGTCTTTGGTTTCCAGACATTTTTTGAACTCGCAGTCAAAGAAGACAAAAATTACAGAATTAACAGTGATCAAGGGACGGATCAGATATGCGTGTACCAGATAATCAATTGTTTCACATCTGCACATGATCTTTTTGTCACACCATAATATAATTATAATTATGTTATCATAATTGATGATAAATTGTGGCTGTTTGACAAACATGTCTCTTCGAAGGAAAGACAAATTTGCATTTTTCGTTTTCTTGTCTATACTTGCCTTCGCAGTTGTCTGTATTGTGACTGCAAACTATGAACCCATCTCCAATGAGAAACCTGGTAAGAATGAAAGTTAATACACTGTTTAACTCTTTGAAAGTAAAAATATTAAAAATTTTTCGCCCTCAGAGAAACAAAAGTATATTATAGTACTGCGGAAAGATATATCGGATTCAGATATGGAAAATCTAAAGTTATATCTCATTGGACTTGGTACACATATTTATAATGAATATAATTCAGTCGTAATGAAAGGCTTCGCTATTGAAATGCCTGAAGAATATGTATCAGTTTTGAAAGAAGATAAGAATGTGGCATATGTAGAACCGGATCAAACAGGTTAGTTTCTAAGGTTTAATATGTCTTTCTTGTCTTCTGCAACTACTTCTAACCCTTTCTTGCCTTATTTGATGATTAGTATATATAAATAGTAAAGGATAATAATAGTTTCATTATCGTTTAATATTAATACTAACAATATTGCGTATATATTGATTAATAAATAAAATATTTAAATTTTTGCATAAATAAAAGTGATATTATAGACTTTATGCTTAGTTTTTGAGTCGACTTTACTTTATTCAATTTTACCGGCCTAATTGTTTAAAAATATATATATGTATGTATGGGATCTTTGCTAGGAAAATGACCCTCCGAGGCTATATAGATTTTATGAATAAAATTCAAAATTGCTAGTCATCCAATAATCCAATTTTTAAATAAATTTTTTTTTTTTATTTTGTAAAGTGAGCTTTATAAAATAAAAAGGTTATTTAAATTGGATCATTGGTGAATTTGAACCTTATTTACGAAATCTACATAGCCTCGGTGGGTCATTTTCCTAGCAAAGATCATATATTAACTATATATAATACAGTATTAACTTTCTCAAAACAACTGATCACACGAAATTTAGTAACTTACGAAACTATATACTGCAATTTAAAGAAGGGTCCAACTAGAATTTGTTATTTGTTATAACCGGATTAGAATTTTTTTTTAAACCGACAATCGGTTTTATCCGATTAATCGGTTTATTATAACCGGTTATGTCTAGACCGAAAGATGTGATGGGCATATCGATATATATATACAGTATATAACATAATTTACTTTTAATTATATTATTTACTTTTACGTATTATATAATTTACTTTTTATTATATTATTTACTTTTATTATACGTATAATTAGTGATGGGACTATCGAGTTGTTAGTTAATAATAAAACGGTTAATAATACGTAGTTAGTACGTAATAGTTAATAATTTCAGGACGACGCCAGGGCAGCCCCCGAAGTTCGGGTTGATGATCGACATCACTACCTAAGCTGCAGCAGCATTAAGCTATAAAGCGTTCGTTTTCTTCATAATCGATATATATATCTTATACAGTATATTTTTAATATTATCGGTATGATACATATAATATTACTGGTACGTACGTACGTACATG